CATCCCCAGTCCTCCGTCCTCATCCACCCCTCCATCCTTCTAACCATCCCCAGTCCTCCGTCCTCATCCACCCCTCCATCCTTCTAACCATCCCCAGACCTCCGTCCTCATCCACCCCTCCATCCATCCCCACCCACCCCTCCATCCTTCCAACCATCCTCAGTCATCCTTCCCCACCCACCCCTCCATCCATCCATCCCCTCTTCCATCCCCACCCACCCCTCCATCGTTCCATCCATCCCCACTCGTCCGTTCGCAACCACCCACCCTTCCTTTCATCCTCCATCCCCGCGCCTCTCCCCCACTCCATACCCACACGCCCCTCCATCCATCCCTCCCCACACACCCATCTACCCCTCCACCCGTTCCCCACTATCACCACAAGGGCTGCTCACAACATCCTCCACCCCGGATGGGAGCCCAAGTACCATCCATTCCCCTAGCCAGCTCCCTCCTGCCCCCCCCCCTGCTTCCTGCCCATCACCCCTCTCCAGCTCCGCCCTGCTGCCCCCCGTTCCCCCTCCCGGTCCCGCCGCGCTCCCTCCTCCCGCTGCCTGCCGCCTCCCCTGGGGCCGGGCTGGGCCGGGCCATCAGTCACTCCCTGGAGCCAGCCCCGCTCCCTCTCCCCGGCAGCCCGCTGCCGCCTGGCTCACTCGGAGCCGCTCGCTCCTGCAGGCGCGCTGGCCCCGCGGGCTCCGATGCACCTGTAGCCGCCCCGCGGCAGCGGGGCCCCCTGGGGCCAGTCAGTGCGCGGCCTGATCCGCCAGGCGGGGCCCGATCCTTGGATTTACCTCCCCACGGACTGCGGAGCCGGGCTCCTGCGCTGCCTTCGGGGGACTTCGAGGGCCGAGGGGTCCGTGCCCTGCATCCCGCCAGCCCAGCGCTCGGAGCTACCATGCGAGTGCCCCGGGCTGCGGGCGCTGCCGGAGGGAGGGGGCAGCTGCCGGCCAGGCGCCCTGGAAACCAGCGCTAGGGGACCCCCACACTCCGGCTCGGCACCATGAGAGCCCCCCGGGAGACCTTGCACCTCCTGCTGGCTACAGCCCTGCAGCTGATCGGCTGCGCAGCTAAGGTAGGGGGCTGTGGGGAGCGGGGCACCTGGGGTAGGGGTAGGGGGACACTGGGGCTGGGGGGGAGCGGGGGCACCTGGGGTAGGGGTAGGGGGACACGTGGGGCTGGGGGGGAGCGGGGGTACCTGGGGGTAG